GCTTATTTGGTCAGTTAACTTTTTACAACCGCATCATTGCTTAGTACAGGCCGAAAATCTGAAAATGTGTTTTGTAACTTTTTCTGTAAAAAGTGGAATGGGTAGGGTTATCAGACGTACCATTAAAACTGAGATCGTCCCAGTTTTTAACCTTATGTTTTTTTTGTCCCGATCAGAAAAAGTAAAAGTATCAAAACGTTCCAGTTTCTTTAGGCCTAAGCGTGAGTTTGATATGTTCAGTTTGCCATTATGCACGGCTCCTTTAAATTTTACTTGGAGAATCATTTGAAGAAAAAAAAAAACAGATCATACGATACAGATTTTCTTCTCTCTTTGTTAAGTTTTCTTAATTAACCTAATCTGCCAATGGGCAGTCGCAGGAATTGGGTTTTGAAGACCCACCCAGTCGCGAAAATAAACAACAACAATACAACGAAGAAGCATCATGTTTTTTATTTTATTTAATATATTTTTCAAATAGATAAGCTTTTAACAAACTTGCTTTTCTATGGTTTTCAATTGCGATGTAGTAAACATGAGATCACTTAGCAAGTGATAAATTGTGCTATCGTAATTTAAACTGCTTTAGAGCTGTTACAGTATCACTCCGAAAAGAAAGAAAAAGTCCCAGTTTTTTATTCTGTAAATCTGGTATCGAAGGAACGAGTAGTTATTGTACATAATTTGCGTATGCTGAATTCAATAAAAGTCTGCTAAACTAAATTTTGAATTTTTAATAGTTAATTTTTAATTACAAAATGTCGCTATAAGAGGCTAAGATCTTTCCATGCCACTGCCCAACCTATGGTCAAACTTCTGGGTCATTAAAGATCCTTCCATGCCACTTCCCAACCTATGGTCAAACTTCTGGGTCATTGAAGATCCTACCATGCCACTTCCCAACCAATGGTCACACTTTTGATCTAGGTGAAAATAAATCTAACATAACACGTATTTCTATCAGAACAACTTTTGCTGCAAGTGCCAGCCAACAGGATTGTGATTGTTGTGGGTGGATTACCAAAAGTAATAACAAATTGTGATGATCCACAGTCTAATATTGAAGAATCTGATAGACACGTCATCTTGTATTGTATTCACGAGTCTAATATAGATGAATCTGACACACACACATCATCTTGTATTGTATTCACGAGTCTAATATAGATGAATCTGACACACACACATCATCTTGTATTGTATTCATGAGTCTAATATAGAAGAATCTGACACCCACATCATCTTGTGTTGTATTCATGAGTCTAATATAGAAAAATCTGACACACACACATCATCTTGTATTGTATTCATGAGTCTAATATAGAAGAATCTGGTAAACACATCATCTTGTATTGTATTCACGAGTCTAATATAGATGAATCTGACACATACACATCATCTTGTAGATTCTTCTATATTAGACTCATGAATACAATTGACACACACATCATCTTGTATTGTATTCATGAGTCTAATACAGAAGAATCTGACACACACATCATCTTGTGTTGTATTCATGAGTCTAATATAGAAGAATCTGACACACACATCATCTTGTATTGTATTCATGAGTCTAATACAGAAGAATCTGACACACACATCATCTTGTATTGTATTCATGAGTCTAATATAGAA